GCACTCTAAAACTTGACCTGCTTTCTTTGTAATAGAATCCAAGATCTCACGTTTTATTAGCAAGAAAAGCCAAATCCCGCATCAAGCAGTGGGTATAGAAAAGCTCTTCTACGTAGCTTCACCTATTAGCCCCGAACTTTGGTGAACGTCTATGAATACCTTTGGTGTTGACCTTCCTAACTTCGGTGAATGTCCATAGATACCTTGAGTACTGCCCTTTGAAGATTAGAAATGGCTTCATACCTACCCTCCAACTGTTTGATAAAATGTCCAAAAGAAGAGTTAATAAATGGTGATCTTAGTAAATAACAAAGCATCATCATTTTTGGATAAACATATTAATGGGATACAATGATATCAAACATTGTTAGTGTGTTCAAGATAAGTGTGTTTTTTTATTAAGCATTCATACGGGAGCAGCGTTGGAACATGTTAGTTACCTTCGTAAATGAATTATTAACATATGTGTGCATTTCCAAATGACTTCAAGCCAACCAAAACTCGATGAAATAGTGATATGCATACTATTTCTGGTAAAAAAAATTTATACTGACCCCCTAATATTATTTTCTGGATCCGCCACTGATGTTTGGTGCCCAAATAGCAATCTGTGCAAGTTGATCAAGAGTTCACTAATGGGTTTTAGCCAGTTAACCATTTTGCTAAAAAATATTTTGCAAAAAGTGGACCATCTTTAACTTTAAAAGACCATCTCTATCTTGCCTAGACATATTGCATCACCAATGGCTTGCTTCACATTCACAAAAATGAGCAGTGCCCATTGACACATGGGCAAACCTCAACGGTACCAACCGAATCACAACAATCCTCTAAAGAAAAACAAACAATGAAATGACTTCAAGAAAAATCTCTATCATTTCTTCAGTGAAGTGATGTATTTCTTAGCGCACATCTCTCTAGCTAGTAATGTATGCTATACATTGTTGTTCTTTAGAATTTTTGCTAAATGTGTAATCTAGATTTACTGTCTAAATATATTCTCTTGTACATGAGACAATTGCCTAACAGCATAAGTTTGGCAAAAGACCGACTTACGTTTCATCTTCTCTTCCGTACTCGTTGTTCTACTTGTTGATGCGTGCATGTAGGTTTCAAAAGACAAGATATTAGAGTTCAAATCAACAATTGGGGCATCCTAACCATTAGCGGAAAGCAACCTAGGGTTGGAGAAACTACATCTGCTATACCCAGCCGCTTCTGTAAAGAGATCAAAATTTCTAAACATTGTACTACGAACGGTATCCGCGCTAAGTTTTCCCGTGGAATTCTTTCCATAACCATTCCAAAAGAAGCTCAGCACGGCGGAGTGAATGCTGCGTGGGCGTCAGTTAATGACTACGTAGTTGGTTTAAGAAGCAAAGTTTTGAAGCCAAGGCTGAGCAAGAAGACGGCTGTGATGGTGGTGGTGGTGGTTGTTCTGGTCATGGCTCTGGGAGTTTATGTAGTATGTAGATATCCAAAGTCAGCTAGCTAGCTACTCTTACAGTTCAAAATTGATCAACAATTTTAGCAAAACATTTTTAATTTTCAGACCATATTACATTTCTATTACCTGGTCATTTCACTTAATTTACTTGGTCTCTTTAGTTTTTCTGTTTCAATTGTATCTTAATTTGTAATTATTCAATTTCAATATATAATAAAGATTACAAAGCAGAACAGGCTCCCAGAATGCCTTTGTAGCAAGTACAGTTGAAAATTTTAATTAATTATATTTTATAACACCATATTAATTAACTGAATAAAGTATTAACCAAATACATAAACCACGCACAATGTTAATGTATATGAATTAAAAAGATAAATCAAGAGTGGTACTTAAGGTAGTCATTGTCGGGGCGAAATAGTGAAGCCCAAGACCACCTCCAACCCTTAAAGTAAAACTCAAATTTTAGGTTATAAACTTACCCCAACTTGCTCCAACCCTTGGGGCAAATATGAGTTTTAACCCAAAACTCTTTTGTGAGGCAAATTTAGCCTAGAATTTCCTCTGGTTAGTGGGGGTAGCCCACCATTATATGTGTATTTTTTTTAGTTTAATATTTATAAATTCATTGAATTCAACAGCTAAGATCTAATATGATCAAATCCAACGGTAAAAAAAAGAAAGATATAACGGTCCAAATTTAAATCCAACGGCTAAAGTGATTAATTTTTTTATTTTTATGTGTTTCATATTCTTCCATAGAGTTTCACGAGTCTCATGGTATCGGTTTAGTGATTTTTCAATATTTATTGAAATCTAAATATTTTTACATTAAAATGTTCATAAAATTTAATTAGGATAGTGTACAAATTTCTTTTTTTTTTAATTTACTTTAAGAAAAAAAATTATCCTAAATTGATTCTTTAATAATCTCGGGCTAAAAATTCAACCCAGAAGGGTTGGATGAGAAAATTGTTTCAGGGTTAATCCCTCAGTTTTTTGGGTTAAAATTTTTAAGTTTTAACTCAAGAGTTGAAGATGTGGTCTAAGTGTGAAATATAAATAATGAAGATTAAAATATGTAGAAAGAAGTTTTGTTAAATAGTAAAACGAAAAACTAAGCAAATAGAGGCAAAGCACTGCTCCACCAAAATGTGAAAGAATAATCTCACTTGAGCCAAGTCTTAACTATCCGGCCTTCTTGCCTCTTATTCAGCGTTTTTTCGCCTGCTTTTATAGCTTTCTGTCTTTTATTTCCCTTCCTTCCTCCTCCTTAGCTGTGATACTTCATCCCCATCCCACCATGTGTTTGGATCGGCGGGCTCTAATCAGAAATTGGATATTAGATCCACTTCCCTCTCTCTCACTTCCCTTACCCCAACTAGTATGTTGGATCTCCATCGAGGCCAAGTGTTGGGTATTTTACATACCCCTTAGCCTCACCTTCTTCCCATATGTTACTTTGTTTATATATATTTGCAGGGGTTTGTGAAGGGGACTTGGATCTGGTGTCTACTTTCTCAGTTCGGAGTTTGGCTTCCTCCGAGGATGTAACTGTGGCGACAATGTGGTCTTTGCTGCAGGAGATTAGTGTTTTTTTATTGTCTGTTTTCTGTTGCCTTCAGGCCTAAACTTGTGTGGGTCTCCCATTATATCTTGGGTTGCTGTTATCATTTTGTTTGGGCCTTTTACTTTTCATGTAGTTATTTGCCCAGTCTTTTTTGGGCCCTGTACTAGTTTTTATTGTAATGAAAATTGTCTTCGTGATAAAAATAAAATAAAAATAAATGAAACCATGAACCAAATATGGGTATTAACCAAAACAAAAAGAACCAATAAAGACTAATTGGTTTTGGTTAATGTTGTCGGGATAATAATGTGTTACCAACGAGAAAAAGGTAGTCAATGGTAAAAAAAGTATATTTTACTGGTCTTGTTTGGTGAGATTCTCCTTTTGATTTCATATTGTCATATTATCATCGTGATTATGTAAGGTTTCCATACTATCATTTTAGATAAATTATTTTTTGTTGGTCTTATTATATCTTATATTAGTTATTGGAGGGTTTGTTTTGTTATGGTTGCTACCATGGCCAGGTTAGGCTTTATGTCCTCCTTGACTGATTGTAATTTTTTTTTATAAATAAAGCAACTTCATTGTCACTTCTTATGATAGCAATGCTAGAGTTGGATTGACTTTAGGATTTTACCCGAAAAAAAAATGCATTAGTCACTATTATGGTGTGCTATTAGGTACGTTTTAGCTTTTGCCATATATCTTTCATTAATAACATCATTTTTACGCCACCAAAAACAATCAAACAACTACTAATCTTGGTAACTGTTGCTCATTTTTCTTGTAGTGGTATTTCCCCATTTGTTGTGAAATAAAAACAATATTTTTATCTTGTTCAAATAATTTTATGAGAATTTAGAACCAAGGGGAAAGTTTAAAAATAGAATTAACTATTTCTATGCTATGCATCACTTGGTGGTGTTGACTCCATTTGTACCCACACTGATTATGTGTTGTAACAAACCGCAACTATCGTTTCATCTATGTATTACCAAGGAGAGCAAGGGGTTTGTAGCTAGCGTTTGAGAGCATATACCTTTGCAGCCAGTGTCTTGTAATACCAAAAAAGTCTTAAGGAGGAAGTTTAGAAACGGAGCCTGTATTTAACGGACATACATTCTTAGGATTGCAAATACGTACACATTGGAAATAATGGTCGATCCAATTGTCAACTCCCTTGAAGCTGAATACACTTCTATTGAACTACAAAAAAGTTAGAAAGGCATCGGCTAGCTAAGATTCTGTGCATGCCTTTTTTTAAAGAAATGCAAAGACAGAAATTAAGCAACATATAAAGGTTAGGATGTTAGACAAAGTAAAGAACATTCTCGATTTTTTGTAGATCGACCAAGCCTACAAGAAACCTGTAAATGATCAACACTTCAAGGAATTAAGGAAAGGTCATATGAAATTTTGGAAAACTACTATGTACCATAAAATGCCCACGCTATATATGTCATTCCTTTGTAACATATTTTCGTAAAACTAAATATTATAATTATATGGCTATTAATATATATTAAAAATTAGGTAATTTAATTGTTCAAAACAAAACGGAACGATAAATTTCTTATCATAAATCAAGAGTAAAAGCAGAAAAAGGGAGCAATAATAAGATTGATATGTAACCAACCAAAACTGAAAATAATGTAAATTAAACCCATTTAACGGTTTGCAAATAACCAATTTAATAATCGTAATTATTGTGGGATAAAAATATTTAAATTTGCAAAACATGTTTCCTACAATCCCCCACGTATATTGCAAATTAAAAGCAAACAAAAGATAGACAAATACAAGAAATGGCTATATAGCTATTAACAACCATAATTTTTAGGAGGTAAAATGATTTGTAATTTGAATTATTTAAAAAATCTAACAAAAAAAAAGTTAGAAAGGCATCAGCTAGCTAAGATTCTGTGCATGCCTTGTTTTAAAGAAATGCAAAGACAGAAATTGAGCAAGATATAAAGGTTAGGATGTTAGACAAACTAAAGAACATTCTCGATTTTTGTAGATCGACCAAGCCTACAAGAAACCTGTAAATGATCAAGCTATATATTTTATATGCCTATGACAGATCCAAACACCTAGAAAAGCAGCTAGCTGACTGATTTTCACATGGATTCTAATAGTGAATATGAGACAGAAGCAGAGACCATGGTGTTTCGTCGGGCAAGATCTTCTTTTGAAGAATTAGAATCTTCTGATTCTAAGCCCGAGGGGAGGCCCCAAGCCAGGCCAGCTGCAGCAACATATCATCCTCCCAAAGCACAAGGCCTTTCTCAGGTACAAACATACTCGCAATCTTGTCTTTTTCCTAATTCGGGTCAAGATTGCTCCATTAATTTGTCTTCTCTGCGTTTTATAGGCCAGCAGTGATGGCTTGGGCAGGTCTCGTCGACTTCCTCAAGCTTCTGGAGTTTTAGGGATTCCAATCCCTTGGCCTCAAAATGTTGCAGTTGCTGAATCCTTTCCTGTTATTCCTGCTGATGTTGCCCATGCTGCCCCTGCTGCTCCTGCTTTTGATGGTCCTGGCGTGATGCCTTCTCCTTTGGCTTCTCTTTCAGCCACGACCTCTTTGCCTGAACTAGTTAGAGAGTTTGGGCAAATTGTAACGAAGCTGAGATCCACAAGGCGCCCTTCTGAGCCTCAACATCTTCAAGATCAGCGCAGGATCTTCAGAGAATGGATGCAGAGGGACTTTTCTGCCTTCTTTAGCCTTAAGGCTCTTCAAGATGCTGAGATAGCGCTCACTAAATTATACCAAGCCCACCAAATGACTAAGGTGCAATATGAGTCCTTCCTTTCCTTCTTTGAAAATCTAAGGGCCTTAAGGGATCAACATCTTAAGGCCGAGAGGCAAGCCAAAAGGGTCAGGTGCTACAAGGAGAAGCACACTCGGACCTCCACTACTCTGCAACAACTGGTGGAGGAGGGCTCGTCCATGGAGGATCGGATAATAGTGGTAGTTGCTGAGATCCAAGAACTGGAGGAACAACTTTCTGCTCTAAAGGCTGAGCAGATGACTCTCTCGAGCAACCTCTACAAGAAGATAAAGGAAGTCAAGAAAGTAAACCACGAAGTGGAGGAGTCTGAAACCCAACTAGCCAACAGCAATATAGCTTTAGAAGAGCCGGGTTGTATTTTTACCATTATGCAGACTTATCATTCTAGGATAGCTGCCTTGGCTAAAGATGTAAACTTGTTAATTTAAGGCTTATGTATTGATGAGTCGATATGTTACTTTATATTTTACCCTAATCTTAGTATTATCTAGAAAATACGCTGGAATGTTGCAACGGAGTCTTTTAAGATGATTTTTTCAAAGTTTTAGATTTTTCTACCAAGCTATTTGGCCATGGCAATGAAAAAAGGGGTTTTTTGAAATAGGTCCAAAGTAACTAAAAATTGGACCTATTTCAAAAGTCAAAAGTCACTAAAAATTGGACCTATTTCAAAAGGTAGTCCATAAAATTAGACCTATTTCAAATTTTCCCATGAAAATAAATGCCCAGCACACAACTTTTTCAAATTGACGTTTTTGAACATTTTGGGTATTTTAGAGGTCACGATGACATATTTTGAGGAACATTCCTTTTGAGGATTTGTAGGGGACGCCTTTAGCTTTCAAAAGAGTTTTATTGAGGCCAAATCGGAGTTGATTTGGTCAGTCAAAAGTTTGATTTTCTGAGAAGTCCGAATTTCATTTTTAATAGGAAACCTTTTATTTGTTGTTTTATTAATTTATTATGTTTCCTAGTTTTATTCTTAGATCTTTTAGGGCTTTATTTTGTAGTAGTATAAATAATGATATTTAACCATTAGAAAGAGGGGAGGAGACGCACTACTTTAGAAAGCCTTTGACAATTCAAGTTTATTTTCAAGGTGTTTTCTTTACATATTTTTAATAATATTTTGTTTTATGGTTGTTCATAGCTAATTTCTTTTGCTAGGGCAAGGTCATAAGCCTTAGCAAGAATATGTAGTTTCTTTTCAATTTACTTATGATATTATGTATGTATGTTTTGAATTATTAATTATCGTGATTAAACTATCAAAGTGTCTTAGTGATTCGCGACCATTATGATATTTAGAAAAGTAATTTGATGCAATTTTGGTCGAAAGGTTTCCTGAAATTGACCCTGGTTTCTTGTGGTTAATAATTGTAATTTTACTTAAGATGAACACCACGTCTTAAGGGTTGCATGATTTTTCAAAAGGTTTTCATAAAACTTAATGAGTCTTTCATGTTCATATTTGATCCAAACGTCCGGACGGGTTATATGCTAGATATACGTTCTATGTCGGAGGTTCTAAGTAGGATATAAATTAGGAAAACCTAACCTTCAAAACATGCATGGGTAGTTCATAAGTAATTAGAAGAACTACGTAGAATTGTTAAGGTGGCGGCGGAACCCTAGTGCTTTTACAAATAGTATCCCTTTGAATTGATTTTATTTAAATTGATTTCTTAATTTGTTTTTTTATTAAATTCATTTTTATAATTTTAAATTCTAAAATCAACATTTCCAAACTTTGTTTTAAATAATTAATTAAGAGTTTGTTTTAAATACAAATTATTAATTCAATCCATGTGGAAAACGACCTTGCTTGAGCTGTTTATACTACAACTACTATGTTCTTTTGCAAGTATTTTTGTGTGATTTTTAACCTTTTTGTAGGTAATAAAAATTCTATCAAGAAATTGGCGCTGTCACCGGAGATTGTTTTAAATAATTTGTGTTTATCATATTCTTAGTTAATTATTTGTGTGTGTGTGTGTGTGTCTTTTTATTTACTTGTTGATTTTATTTTCATCCTTGTGTTTTTTTATTTACTTGTTGATTTTATTTTCATCCTTTTAGAGAGCAATTCAATGATGGAGCTACCGCCAGGAGGGTTGCCGTTATGAGTTTCTTTAGCAGATAGGTTTTTATGGATTTAAACCTACACTATGTGCCATTTGCTATTTGAAGACTCATGATCTTTTGGAGTGCCGTAAAAAAGAATATTTTCCTGAGTTTGTCCAAAAGCATATCAATATGAGAATCGACTCAAAAAGGCATTGGAACAATTCCTATTCAGAGTTTTACACTTCAAGTTTGAAAAAGCATCTTGAGCACTATTTTGAGCAACCTAATGTGCCACAAGAGCTCTCTGAGTTGTACATTGAAAGAACTAATCAAGGATTTCAAATTTAAGCTTTAAACTATGAGAAAAGCTGTATGATTAAGAGGAAATTGGTGCAGAAACGGAAAAGCCACCTGCAAGCTATTCACTTCCAAGGGAGGAAACAATATATGCTGATCCTGAAATCCTCCCAGAATCTACGGCAACCCAAGTTCATGTGCTGTCAGAATTTTTCCCACAAAGACTGCAGAAAAGCACGGGAATAGATGTGTTGGAGAGGGATGTTCACACAAATTCAGAATCTGGAAAATTAAATGGTCATCTTTTGGACACACTCAAGAATCTAGATACATAGCAGATGACTACTGATACAATTTTTGTTGCTGAATTGGACATTCTAGCAATGCAGCTCTTCAAATTTAAAGACCATCAGGGCTAATCCTACAAGCAGGCTAAGGCATACGAAAAGAAGACGTTTTGTGGCAGCCAATTTCCTCACAAACAAATTCAACCAGTGCACAAATTGTGGGTATTAAATACAAGATTGAAGTCAATTCGACGGATATCAAAACATTGTTGGAATGAACCTTATTTCATTACAAAGATTCATTCTCATAGAATGGTGTATATTAAGGACTCAACCATAGCATTTAAATACGCAGTCAATACACATCAAGTTACTCATTACCTAAAATTTACCTTTGATGTTGTTAAAGATTGGTTGACTCTAAAAGAATAAGTAATGTGATTACCAATCTTCCGCTTTGTCTAGCTATGGACACTAACCAAAGTGTTTATTGGGAAGCAACCTAATTTTTCTAACTCTTTTATTTTTATTTTCTAGCTTTTATTTCAATTACAAAAACACAACGAAACAAAATATCAAAATAAAAATAAATAAATAAATGAAAAAAAATGCAATTTTTAATTCTTGTTATTTTTATTTACTTATCTAATTAGGTTTTTTATTGCAGGTTGCATTCGGAACTGATTTGGCCTAATACCAACTAAAGGAGTGCAATCAAAATTTAGCCTATACCAACTAATTGATAATATGATGAGTAATTTAATTATTTATAAGAACATGTGAGGTTTATTCTTTTTCTGATGTGTGATTCATACTCATAATTGAGTGACGTGGAGTACGTGTGCCTGTTAAGCCTCACATACGGGATAACCTGCTCTTATACCATGAAGAAAATTGATGTTCTACCAAAAACCAATCAATAATGTGGGAATTAGCACAACTACTTATAAACACAAGCAAGATATGTTTCTTTCCTGATGTGAGATTCTCACTCCCAAGTCTCAATAGTAGGAACGGTATGAATAAAAAGACATTGAAACCATGAAGGGGGGCATGGTTGGGGAGAAATAGTGAAGCCTAAGACCATCTCCAACTCTTAGAGTAAAACTCAAATTTTAGGTTCTAAACTTACCCTAACTTGCTCCAACCTTTGGGACAAATATGAGTTTTAACCCAAAACTCTTTTGTGGGGCAAATTTAGCCAAGAATTTCCTTGGGTTAGTGGGGCTGGCCAACCATTATATGTGTATTTTTTTTTTTTTTTAGTTTTAAATTTATAAATTCATTGAATTCAACAGCTAAAATCTAATATGATCAAATCTAACGGTAAAAAAAGAAAGATATAACGGTCCAAATTTAAATCCAATGGCTAAAGTAATTAAAAAAAAATTTATGTGTGTTTTATATTCTTTCATAGTGTTTCACAAGTTTCATGGTATCGATTTAGTGATTTTGCAATATTTATCGGAATCTAAATATTTTTAGGTTGAAAAGTTCATAAAATTTAATTAGGATAGCCCACACACACACACACACACACACACACACACACACACATATATATATATATATTTTTTTTTAAATTTACTTTAAGAAAAAAATTATCCTAAATTCATTCTTTAATAATCTCAGGCTAAAAATTTAACCGAGAAGAGTTGGAGGAGAAAAACTATTTCTGGGTTAAAACCTAAATTTTTGGGGTTAAAATTTTTAAGTTTTAACTAAAGAATTAGAGATGGTCTAAGTGTGAAAAACAAATAATGAAGATTAAAATATGTAGAAAGAAGTTTTGTTAAATCGTAAAACGAAAAACCAAGTAAATAAAGGCCACGAACCGCTCCACCAAAATGTGAAAGTAAATGGGTCGTAATTGAATTTCCCTTCCCTCTAAAAAGTCTCCCCTTTTCTCTCTCTAAAATTCTCTATGTGAAAGAATACCAGCAACTTTGCTACCGGCCCTAGCCTTTGGCTTAGGTGTCGGAGGCATCCTCCCTTCTTTCTTTTCTTCTTTTCCTCCCTCTTCTCATTTTCCTCCTAAGTTTTCTTAGATTCTCTTTCCTTTGCACTTTCCCTCTTTTCTTTTCCCTCATCTCCTCTACTCCTCTCCCTCCCTGCTTTCAATTTGCTCTTCCTTCAACTTTTCCAGTTTTCTCCCTTCCTTTTTAATTCTCAATTCTCCCTTGAGTTTAATCTCAGTTTTCCTTGAGCCGAGTCTCAAGTATTCGGGCTTCTTGCCCCATATTTAGTGTTTTTTCGCCTGCTTTTACTTCTTTCTGTCTTTTATTTCCCTTCCTTCATCATGCCTAGCTGTGATACTTCATCCCCATCCCACCATGTGCTTGGATCAGCAGGCTCTGATCAGAAATTGGATATCATATCTACTTCCTTATCTCTCACTTCCCTTCCTCAACCAGCATGTTGGATCTCCATTGAGGCCAAGTGTTGGGTATTTTACATACCCCTTAGCCTTACCTTCTTCCCATATGTTACTTTGTTTGTATACATTTGTAGGGGTTCGTGAAGGGAACTTGGATCTAGTGTCTACTTTCTCAGTTCGGAGTTTGTCTTCCTCCTAGGATGTGACGGGGGCAGCAATGTGGTCTTTGCTGTTAGAGATTAGTGTTTTTTATTGTCTGTTTTATTCTGCCTTCGGGCCTAAGCTTGTGTGGGCCTCCCATTGTATCTTAGGTTGTTGCTATCATTTTGTTTGGGCCTTTTACTTTTCCTGTAGTTGTTTGCCCGGTCCTTTTTGGGCCCTGTACTAGTTTTTATTGTAATGAAAATTGTCTTCATGATAAAATAAATAAATGAAACCATG